CCAGAGAGAGACCAGAGAGAGAAAACCAGAGAGATGACCAGAGAGAGAGACCAGAGAGAGAGACCAGAGAGAGACCAAAGAGAGAAAAGAGAGGCCAGAGAGAGAGACCAGTGAGACCAGGAAGCTAGACCAGAGAGAGAGACCAGTGTTAGAGAGCAGAGAGAGACCAGACAGAGAGGAGAGACGAGACCAGAGAGAGAGACCAGAGAGAGACCAGAGAGAGAGACCAGAGAGAGAGAGACCAGAGAGAGACCAGAGAGAGACCAGAGAGAGACCAGAGAGAGACCGAGAGAGACCAGAGAGAGACCAGAGAGAGACCAGAGAGAGACCAGAGAGAGAGACCAGAGAGAGACCAGAGAGAGACCAGATAGAGACCAGAGAGAGAGACCAGAGAGAGACCAGAGAGAGACCAGAGCGAGACCAGAGAGAGACCAGAGAGAGACCAGAGAGAGACCAGAGAGAGACCAGAGAGAGACCAGAGAGAGACCAGAGAGAGAGACCAGAGAGAGACCAGAGAGAGACCAGAGAGAGAGACCAGAGAGAGACCAGAGAGAGACCAGAGAGAGAGACCAGAGAGAGACCAGAGAGAGAGACCAGAGAGAGAGACCAGAGAGAGACCAGAGAGAGACCAGAGAGAGACCAGAGAGAGACCAGAGAGAGACCAGAGAGAGAGACCAGAGAGAGACCAGAGAGAGACCAGAGAGAGAGACCAGAGAGAGACCAGAGAGAGACCAGAGAGAGAGACCAGAGAGAGAGAGACCAGAGAGAGAGACCAGAGAGAGAGACCAGAGAGGGACCAGAGAGAGACCAGAGAGAGAGACCAGAGAGAGAGAGACCAGAGAGAGACCAGAGAGAGACCAGAGTGAGACCAGAGAGAGAGAGACCAGAGAGAGACCAGAGAGAGACCAGAGAGAGACCAGAGAGAGAGAGACCAGAGAGAGAGACCAGAGAGAGACCAGAGAGAGACCACAGAGAGAGACCAGAGAGAGACCAGAGAGAGAGAGACCAGAGAGAGACCACAGAGAGAGACCAGAGAGAGAGAGACCAGAGAGAGACCAGAGAGAGACCAGAGAGAGACCACAGAGAGAGACCAGAGAGAGACCAGAGAGAGAGAGAGACCAGAGAGAGACCAGAGAGAGACCACAGAGAGAGACCAGAGAGAGACCAGAGAGAGAGAGAGACCAGAGAGAGACCAGAGAGAGACCACAGAGAGAGACCAGAGAGAGACCAGAGAGAGAGAGAGAGACCAGAGAGAGACCAGAGAGAGACAACAGAGAGAGACCAGAGAGAGACCAGAGAGAGAGAGACCAGAGAGAGACCACAGAGAGAGACCAGAGAGAAACCAGAGAGAGAGACCAGAGAGAGAGAGACCAGAGAGAGAGACCAGAGAGAGAGACCAGAGAGACACCAGAGAGAGAGACCAGAGAGAGACCAGAGAGAGACCAGAGAGAGACCAGAGAGAGAGACCAGAGGGAGACCAGAGAGACACCAGAGAGAGACCAGAGGAGAGACCAGAGAGAGACCAGAGAGAGAGACCAGAGGGAGACCAGAGAGAGACCAGAGAGAGAGACCAGAGAGAGACCAGAGAGAGACCAGAGAGAGAGACCAGAGAGAGACCAGAGAGAGACCAGAGAGAGAGACCAGAGAGAGAGACCAGAGAGAGACCAGAGAGAGACCAGAGAGACAGAGAGAGACCAGAGGGAGACCAGAGAGAGACCAGAGAGAGACCAGAGGGAGACCAGAGGGAGACCAGAGAGAGACCAGAGAGAGAGACCAGAGAGAGACCAGAGATACACCAGAGAGAGACCAGAGAGAGACCAGAGGGAGACCAGAGAGAGACCAGAGAGAGAGACCAGAGAGAGACCAGAGAGAGACCAGAGAGACCAGAGAGAGACCAGAGAGATACCAGAGAGACCAGAGAGAGACCAGAGAGAGACCAGAGAGACCAGAGAGACCAGAGAGAGACCAGAGAGAGACCAGAGAGAGACCAGAGAGAGACCAGAGAGACCAGAGAGACCAGAGAGAGACCAGAGAGAGACCAGAGAGAGACCAGAGAGAGACCAGAGAGAGACCAGAGAGAGACCAGAGAGAGACCAGAGAGAGACCAGAGAGACCAGAGAGACCAGAGAGACCAGAGAGAGACCAGAGAGAGACCAGAGAGAGACCAGAGAGTTGGGCCTTTTCAGACCACATTCTCAAGACCAAGTTTAAGGACGACACTGAACTGAACCAAAGTGTTTTATTTTGTCTGTGGTTGAACTTTTGACTTTCCCTGAGAAGCAGAGAGAATGTGATTATCTGATCTGGGGTCCGTGGTCGCCGCAGGTCGCACACTCCGTCTGGAAGTGTGCGTCTGGAAGAGTGCGTCTCATTGGGTTGTGTTGCCGAGCGATGTGTACTTCAAAAGACCTGGACCTAAACACGACTAATTTATCTAAACAGAGAAATGTGGAGACTGACCCCACTCTTACCTGGCAACCCCCACAGAAGTTCCAGACTGGGACCAAGACGATCAGAAAGGGGGACTAGAAAGAGACCAGAGTGAGGCCAGAGAGAGGGAGTAGAGAGAGACCAGAGGGAGCAGAGAGAGACCAGAGAGAGACCAGAGAGAGACCAGAGAGAGGGAGTAGAGAGAGACCAGAGAGAGGCCAGAGAGAGACCAGAGGGAGCAGAGAGAGAACAGAGAGAGGCCAGAGAGAGACCAGAGGGAGCAGAGAGAGAACAGAGAGAGGCCAGAGAGAACAGAGAGAGGCCAGAGAGACAACAGAGACAAGAGAGAGACCAGAGAGAGACCAGAGGGAGCAGAGAGAGACCAGAGAGAGACCAGAGGGAGCAGAGAGAGACCAGAGAGAGACTCCAGAGCGTTACCTGGCAACCCCCACAGAAGCTCCAGACTGGGACCAAGACGACCAGAGAGAGAACAGAGAGTCTAGAGAGAGACCAAAGAGTGACCAGAGAGAGACAAGAGGGAGACCAGAGAGAGACCAGAGGGAGCAGAGAGAGACCAGAGAGAGACTCCAGAGCGTTACCTGGCAACCCCCACAGAAGCTCCAGACTGGGACCAAGACGACCAGAGAGAGAACAGAGAGTCTAGAGAGAGACCAAAGAGTGACCAGAGAGAGACAAGAGGGAGACCAGAGGGAGCAGAGAGACCAGAGAGATCAGAAAGAGAGACTACAGAGAGAGAGCAGACTGTTTTGAGTTGGAGGAGCCATAGTGAGATGGAGGTTAATACAGCGTTCAATCTTCACCGTGGTTTTAAAGTTACACACCCCAGCTTTAGTGACACACTCTCCCACCAGTGTCTCCTCTCGTCTGTGGAGATGTCCCCAAAACAGAACCATCAGCGGAAAAAGCAGGAGCGGCTGGACTTCCCGGACCCTGAGGTGAGGCTCCGGGCAGCAGCAGAATGTGTCATGCACTGGACCTCAGTTGTTGCGGTCCGTGGTTGTTATTTTAAACGACTCTGTGCCGAAGTGTGCCAGCTAAAACAATGGTCGCCACGGTAACGGGCCCGAAAGTGACTCACTGGGAGCAGAGGGAGGTGAGGGGGGTGAGGGAGGTGAAGGAGGTGAGGGAGGTGTTAGACCTGGGAAACTTGGATCCACTCAAAACAGAGGGTTTCCACTCTAGTGTAACATGTAGCATGGTCTCTCTCTCTGGTCTCTCTCTCTGGTCTCTCTCTCTGGTCTCTCTCTCTGGTCTCTCTCTCTGGTCTCTCTCTCTGGTTTCTCTCTCTGGTCTTTCTCTCTGGTCTCTCTCTGGTCTCTCTCTCTGGTCATTCTCTGGTCACTCTCTCTGGTCTTTCTCTCTGGTCTCTCTCTCTGGTCTTTCTCTCTGGTCTCTCTCTGGTCTCTCTCTGGTCTCTCTCTGGTCACTCTCTGGTCTCTCTCTGGTCTCTCTCTGGTCACTCTCTGGTGTCTCTCTCTGGTCTCTCTCTCTGGTCTCTCTCTGGTCTCTCTCTCTCTCTCTGGTCACTCTCTCTGGTCTTTCTCTCTGGTCTCTCTCTCTGGTCTCTCTCTGGTCTCTCTCTGGTCTCTCTCTGGTCTCTCTCTGGTCTCTCTCTGGTCTCTCTCTCTGGTCTCTCTCTGGTCTCTCTCTGGTCACTCTCTGGTCTCTCTCTGGTCTCTCTCTGGTCTCTCTCTGGTCACTCTCTGGTGTCTCTCTCTGGTCTCTCTCTCTGGTCATTCTCTGGTCTCTCTCTCTGGTCTCTCTCTCTGGTCCCTCTCTCTGGTCTCTCTCTCTGGTCTTTCTCTGGTCTCTCTCTCTGGTCTCTCACTTGAAATCCAGTGAGTTAGAATAGTTTCTGGTGTATATTTTTGGCGGGAGAGGATAGCATTGTCGCTAACGTTGGTGTTATCTTCCCTCTGGTTTCACCTCCGCCTGCTCCTCCTGGTCCTCTGGCCTCTCACTGATCTGATTTCACACACAGGAAGTCATCACCAAAGAGAGTAGGACACCCTACTCCTCTGATCCTCCCGCGGGACACCCAGCCTCCGCGGGCGCCATGGGTCAACTGCTCTAGACACTGCCTCCCGGAGCGAGTGCAGAGTTGGGTGTAGAGGTCTGTGTACAGAGCTGGGTGCAGAGCTGGGTGTAGAGGTGGGTACAGAGGTGGGTGTAGAGGTGGGTACAGAGGTGGGTGTAGAGGTGGGTACAGAGGTGGGTGTAGAGGTGGGTACAGAGGTGGGTACAGAGTTGGGTACAGAGGTGGGTGTAGAGGTGGGTACAGAGGTGGGTGTAGAGTTGGGTGTAGAGTTGGGTACAGAGTTGGGTGTAGAGTTGGGTGTAGAGTTGGGTGTAGAGTTGGGTACAGAGTTTGGTGTAGAGTTTGGTGCAGAGGTGGGTGTAGAGGTGGGTGTAGAGGTGGGTACAGAGTTGGGTGCAGAGGTGGGTGTAGAGTTGGGTACAGAGTTGGGTACAGAGTTGGGTACAGAGTTGGATACAGAGGTGGGTGTAGAGGTGGGTGTAGAGTTGGGTGTAGAGGTGGGTACAGAGTTGGGTGTAGAGGTGGGTACAGAGTTGGGTGTAGAGTTGGGTACAAAGTTGGGTACAGAGTTGGGTACAGAGTTGGGTGTAGAGTTGGGTGCAGAAGTGGGTGTAGAGTTGGGGGTAGAGTTGGGTGCAGTGGTGGGTGTAGAGTTGGGGGTAGAGTTGGGTGCAGTGGTGGGTGTAGAGTTGGGTGCAGAGGTGGGTGTAGAGGTGGGTGTAGAGTTGGGTGCATAAGTGGGTGTAGAGTTGGGGGTAGAGTTGGGTGCAGTGGTAGTTGGGTGCAGAGGTGGGTGTAGAGGTGGGTGTAGAGTTGGGTACAGAGTTGGGTGTAGAGGTGGGTACAGAGTTGGGTGTAGAGTTGGGTGTAGAGGTGGGTGTAGAGTTGGGTACAGAGTTGGGTACAGAGTTGGGTGTAGAGGTGGGTACAGAGTTGGGTACAGAGTTGGGTACAGAGTTAGGTGTAGAGTTGGATACAGAGGTGGGTACAGAGTTGGGTACAGCGTTGGGTACAGAGTTGGGTACAGAGTTGGGTGTAGAGGTGGGTACAGAGTTGGGTGTAGAGGTGGGTACAGAGTTGAGTACAGAGTTGGGTGTAGAGTTGGGTACAGAGTTGGGTACAGAGTTGGGTACAGAGGTGGGTACAGAGTTGGGTGTAGAGGTGGGTACAGAGTTGGGTACAGAGTTGGGTACAGAGGTGGGTACAGAGTTGGGTGTAGAGGTGGGTACAGAGTTGGGTACAGAGTTGGGTGTATAGTTGGGTGTAGAGTTGGGTGTAGAGGTGGGTACAGAGTTGCGTGTAGAGTTGGGTGCAGAGGTGGGTGTAGAGGTGGGTGTAGAGGTGGGTGTAGAGTTGGGTGCAGAGGTGGGTACAGAGGTGGGTGTAGAGGTGGGTACAGAGTTGTGTACAGAGTTGGGTACAGAGTTGGGTACAGAGTTGGAGCAGAGTTGGGTACAGAGTTGGGTACAGAGTTGGAGCAGAGTTGGGTGTAGAGGTGGGTACAGAGTTGGGTACAGAGGTGGGTACAGAGTTGGGTACAGAGTTGGGTACAGAGTTGGGTACAGAGTTGGAGCAGAGTTGGTTACAGAGTTGGGTACAGAGGTGGGTACAGAGTTGGGTATAGAGTTGGGTACAGAGTTGGGTACAGAGTTGGGTACAGAGTTGGAGCAGAGTTGGGTACAGAGTTGGGTACAGAGTTGGGTACAAAGTTGGGTGCAGAGTTGGGTACAGAGTTGGGTGTAGAGTTGGGAGCAGAGTTGGGTACAGAGTTGGGTACAGAGGTGGGTACAGAGTTGGGTACAGAGTTGGGTGCAGAGTTGGGTACAGAGTTGGGTACAGAGGTGGGTACAGAGTTGGTACAGAGTTGGGTGCAGAGTTGGGTACAGAGTTGGAGCAGAGGCGGGAGCAGAGATAGAGGCTGTGAGAACCAGTGTCAGAAGCAGCAGTTTTTAGAATGAGGAACTAGTGAGACAAACATCTACAGTATTTACAATGAAGAGAAACACCAAAAACCACCATATTTTTACCAAAACCATCAGATAAAAAGTCTGTAAAAAGTAGGGATGTACCGAATCCAGGATTCTGGTTCGGATTCGGCCGAATATTGGCTTTTTTGACGGGGTTCGGTTTCTGGCCGAACCTTAGAATTTTTCCCTCCCGAACCCGAACCCTGCACTTACACTTACGCTGTGGCTGTTGGATTCGTCACGGAAATCAGATTCGTTCGGAAGTGTAAATAAACTTTAGCGGAGGTTTATATCCTCTTGCTCTCTGTTCCTCTTCGGGTGCACTGAGGTCTCTTCCTCGTCATGTGATCCCCGCGGACCAATAGGCTCTAGTTATACGTCGGTGCGAGGGGATGTTCTGATTCTTGTTTTCACCTGTAATGCGGTTCTGATGGATCATAAACTAACTTCCTATTCACCAACTTTATGGAGCCGATTACCAGTGCCAGGTACTTGTCATCTGAGCTGCGTATGACTGTAGAAGCAGAGTTGGTGAGTCCATGTTTAGGCAACTAGCGTCTTAGCATTAGCTTCTCTCAACTTGTCTCTACGAGTTTGGCATATTTCTCAAATGTCCAAATATATAATGTTTTGAGCTGAACCAGTGGAAGCTATTTATGCATGTATGGTGCTTTAGCTCTTAAATCTACATGACATGCACAGTAATATATGTACTTTATCTCTGAAGTTTTACACTGCTGTGAACTGAATGTATTTGTGTTTAATAATAAACGGGATTATTATAAATGTTATAATAATAGATTCTGGTCGAGCTACATGTTTAATTTGCAATGCCCATTTGTCTCGTGGTGGTAAGGGCCCTAAACAGTACACAACACCGCCAGTTCGTCGCTGTTAAAACATTTGCGTATGAAACATTAGTGGACTGACGATGGAATAGGATTCGGTATTCGGGTTTGGATTTGGCAGAATCTTAACCAGTGGATTCGGTATTCGGCCGAACCCCAAAAACATGGATTCGGTACATCCCTAGTAAAAAGACAACCCTAAAGATAAACAGCTAGTTATGCTTTGGCTTCATTTGACCCAGGAATCCTCTATGTGCGTAAAAAACTTGCCCCATGTTTTCCAAAGCAGTAAACAAAAAACCCTCTATTTCTACACAAAAAACAATTCTATGCTTTTAAGAGACAAGGATGAAGCTGTGACGATGGAACGGAGAGTTTTAATGTGGTTTTAGACAAAAGAGGTAATGACGACAGTGAGTCCACGGGACGATCAACAATAAGATCAGAATTCAGACTTAAGCAGCTAAACTAAAGCAGGCGACACTGGTCTCTCTCTGGTCTCTTTCTCAGGTCTCTCTCTCAGGTCTCTCTCTGGTCTCTCTCTCTGGTCTCTCTCTGGTCTCTTTCTCAGGTCTCTCTCTCAGGTCTCTCTCTGGTCTCTATAGTCTCTCTCTGGTCTCTCTCTCTGGGCTCTCTCTCTGGTCTCTCTCTCTGGTCTCTCTCTCTGGTCTGTTTCTCAGGTCTCTCTCTGGTCTCTCTCTCTGGTCTCTCTCTCTGGTCTCTCTCTCTGGTCTCTCTCTCTGGTCTCTCCCTCTGGTCTCTCCCTCTGGTCTCTCTCTCTGGTCTCTCTCTCAGGTCTCTCTCTGGTCTCTCCCTCTGGTCTCTCCCTCTGGTCTCTCTCTCTGGTCTCTCTCTCTGGTCTCTCTCTGGTCTCTCTCTCTGGTCTCTCTCTCTGGTCTCTCTCTCTGGTCTCTCTCTGGTCTCTCTCTGGTCTCTCTCTGGTCTCTTTCTCAGGTCTCTCTCTCAGGTCTCTCTCTGGTCTCCATAGTCTCTCTCTGGTCTCTCTCTCTGGGCTCTCTCTCTGGTCTCTCTCTCTGGTCTCTCTCTCTGGTCTCTCTCTCTGGTCTGTTTCTCAGGTCTCTCTCTGGTCTCTCTCTCAGGTCTCTGTCTGGTCTCTCTCTCTGGTCTCTCTCTCTGGTCTCTCTCTCTGGTCTCTCTCTCTGGTCTCTCCCTCTGGTCTCTCCTTCTGGTCTCTCTCTCTGGTCTCTCTCTCAGGTCTCTCTCAGGTCTCTATAGTCTCTCTCTCAGGTCTCTCTCTCAGGTCTCTCTCTGGTCTCTCTCTCAGGTCTCTCTCAGGTCTCTATAGTCTCTCTCTCTGGTCTCTCTCTCAGGTCTCTCTCAGGTCTCTCTATAGTCTCTCTCTCAGGTCTCTCTCTGGTCTCTCTCTGGTCTCTGTCTGGTCTCTCTCTGGTCTCTCTCTCTGGTCTCTCTCTCTGGTCTCTCTCTCTGGTCTCTCTCTGGTCTCTCTCTGGTCTCTCTCTGGTCTCTCTCTGGTCTCTCTCTGGTCTCTCTCTCTGGTCTCTCTCTGGTCTCTCTCAGGTCTCTATAGTCTCTCTCTCAGGTCTCTCTCTGGTCTCTCTCTCAGGTCTCTCTCAGGTCTCTATAGTCTCTCTCTATAGTCTCTCTCTCTGGTCTCTGTCTGGAGTAGTCTCTGTCATAGTGAGTCCCAGGTATGAGTCAGATTATAGGCCCCCTGGTCTCTGTTGATGGTCCATGCGCCCCACTTCCCGCTCAAACATAGAAAAGCAGAACTATCTTTACACTTTGGTCTCATTATAAAAACGTTCTCCATCTCACCCCTGAACACACCGTCTCCAAACCCCGTCTTCACCCGTACCTTCGCTCCCCGTGCCTCGGCCTGGGCCCAGATGGCAGGCGGGCGCGGGTCAGGGGCCAGAGCGGAGCTGGCCGGGCGGACACCGGGGGAGGGGGGGAGGCAGAGGGGGGGGTGTCATGTTACCGGGATCAGACAGTGTCCCGCTCGCGTACTCAGGGTGTGGGTTACACTGCTGCGAACACAGGGGACACGGCGAGACACGGCGACCAGTGTGGGACGTCCCGAGAGGAGGGCCGGCCGGGGGTTTACACAGACAGGGCTTTTCCAGCGGCAAAGTTAGATCTACTTTAAAGACCGGGATCGATGTCGGTGTTTGGATGTTAGGCCTCAGCTTTGAACGCAGGAGCAGAGGTGTCATTAGCAACGGGACGGACAGAGATGGGGACGTATTTCAGTGATACACATCTTCACTTACCTCAGAGAGTACCTCACATAGGACTAGGACGTGAGACTAGGACATGGGACTAGGACATGAGACTAGGACATGGGGCTAGGACATGGGACTAGGACATGAGACTAGGACATGGGACTAGGACATGGGACTAGGACATGGGACTAGGACATAGGACTAGGACATAGGACTAGGACATAGGACTAGGACATGTGACTAGGATATAGGACTAGGACATAGGACTAGGACATAGGACTAGGACATGGGACTAGGACATGGGACTAGGACATGGGACTAGGACATGCGACTAGGATATAGGACTAGGACATGGGACTAGGACATGAGACTAGGATATGAGACTAGGACATGAGACTAGGACATGGGACTAGGACATGGGACTAGGACATGGGACTAGGACATGAGACTAGGACATGGGGCTAGGACATGGGACTAGGACATAGGACTAGGACATGGGACTAGGACATGGGACTAGGACATGAGACTAGGACATGGGACTAGGACATGTGACTAGGACATAGGACTAGGACATAGGACTAGGACATAGGACTAGGACATGTGACTAGGATATAGGACTAGGACATAGGACTAGGACATAGGACTAGGACATGGGACTAGGACATGGGACTAGGACATGGGACTAGGACATGGGACTAGGACATGCGACTAGGATATAGGACTAGGACATGGGACTAGGACATGGGACTAGGACATGAGACTAGGATATGAGACTAGGACATGGGACTAGGACATGCGACTAGGATATAGGACTAGGACATGGGACTAGGACATGAGACTAGGATATGAGACTAGGACATGGGACTAGGACATGGGACTAGGACATGGGACTAGGACATGGGACTAGGACATGAGACTAGGACATGGGGCTAGGACATGGGACTAGGACATAGGACTAGGACATGGGACTAGGACATGGGACTAGGACATGAGACTAGGACATGGGACTAGGACATGTGACTAGGACATAGGACTAGGACATAGGACTAGGACATAGGACTAGGACATGTGACTAGGATATAGGACTAGGACATAGGACTAGGACATAGGACTAGGACATGGGACTAGGACATGGGACTAGGACATGGGACTAGGACATGGGACTAGGACATGGGACTAGGACATGGGACTAGGACATTGGACTAGGACATGGGACTAGGACATGGGACTAGGACATGGGACTAGGACATGGGACTAGGACATGAGACTAGGACATGGGACTAGGACATGGGACTAGGACATGAGACTAGGACATGGGACTAGGACATGAGACTAGGACATGGGGCTAGGACATGGGACTAGGACATAGGACTAGGACATGGGACTAGGACATGGGACTAGGACATGGGACTAGGACATGGACTAGGACATGAGACTAGGACATGTGACTAGGACATATATAGATATAGATAGATAGATATATATATATAGAACAATAATATTCTTAATTCTTAAAACACAAATCCAGTGAGAAACATGTTCGTAAACAAACTCGCAAAAAATGTGGCAATAAATGAATATTAAAACAAGATTAATTTAACGCCCTGGACAAAACCTGCGACCGCTTCATTTATCAGCTCATATTTCATCACTTGTCGCAGAGTTTTTTGTTTCACGTTTATCTAAAGTATTTTCCAACACGATAAACAACATTCTTTATTCTTACACAAACATTTTATTCTTTTAACTCAATTTCCAACCTCGGCAGCGGCCTCAGCCTGACCCTGGACCCACGGCCCGAGGAAACCAGAGGAGGTGGAAAGAGGATGCGATTAGAGCCGGGAGGACGGACCAGGACGAGCCCGATGTCTGCGTCTCATTTGCGGCGGCGAGCGCGGTAATCGCCGGCAGAGATTAAGGCGTGTTTTATTAAGAAGCGCTCGGGGCGTTGGAAGAAGAGGCTTTAGCTCCGACGCCGTGTCATAGAATACAAAACAAACACGAGATGTTGTTTCACCAAAGTGCTCTCACATGTGCCGAGGCAGCGAGGCAGCGGAGAGCCCCAACGCCACCGCCTCCCCAACGCCACCGCCTCCCCAACGCCACCGCCTCCCCAACGCCACCGCCTCCCCAACGCCACCGCCCCCAACCCACCGCCTCCCCAACGCCACCGCCTCCCCAACGCCACCGCCTCCCCAACGCCACCGCCTCCCCAACGCCACCGCCTCCCCAACGCCACCGCCTCCCCAACGCCACCGCCTCCCCAACGCCACCGCCTCCCCAACGCCACCGCCTCCCCAACGCCACCGCCTCCCCAACGCCACCGCCTCCCCAACGCCACCGCCTCCCCAACGCCACCGCCTCCCCAACGCCACCGCCTCCCCAACGCCACCGCCTCCCCAACGCCACCGCCTCCCCAACGCCACCGCCTCCCCAACGCCACCGCCTCCACAACGCCACCGCCTCCACAACGCCACCGCCTCCCCAACGCCACCGCCTCCCCAACGCCACCGCCTCCCCAACGCCACCGCCTCCCCAACGCCACCGCCTCCCCAACGCCACCGCCTCCACAACGCCACCGCCTCCACAACGCCACCGCCTCCCCAACGCCACCGCCTCCACAACGCCACCGCCTCCCCAACGCCACCGCCTCCCCAACACCACCGCCTCCCCAACGCCACCGCCTCCACAACGCCACCGCCTCCACAACGCCACCGCCTCCCCAACGCCACCGCCTCCCCAACGCCACCGCCTCCCCAACGCCACCGCCTCCACAACGCCACCGCCTCCACAACGCCACCGCCTCCACAACGCCACCGCCTCCCCAACGCCACCGCCTCCCCAACGCCACCGCCTCCCCAACGCCACCGCCTCCCCAACGCCACCGCCTCCCCAACGCCACCGCCTCCACAACGCCACCGCCTCCACAACGCCACCGCCTCCCCAACGCCACCGCCTCCCCAACGCCACCGCCTCCCCAACGCCACCGCCTCCCCAACGCCACCGCCTCCACAACGCCACCGCCTCCCCAACGCCACCGCCTCCCCAACGCCACCGCCTCCCCAACGCCACCGCCTCCCCAACGCCACCGCCTCCCCAACGCCACCGCCTCCCCAACGCCACCGCCTCCCCAACGCCACCGCCTCCCCAACGCCACCGCCTCCCCAACGCCACCGCCTCCCCAACGCCACCGCCTCCCCAACGCCACCGCCTCCACAACGCCACCGCCTCCACAACGCCACCGCCTCCCCAACGCCACCGCCTCCACAACGCCACCGCCTCCCCAACGCCACCGCCTCCCCAACACCACCGCCTCCCCAACGCCACCGCCTCCACAACGCCACCGCCTCCCACAACGCCACCGCCTCCCCAACGCCACCGCCTCCCCAACGCCACCGCCTCCCCAACGCCACCGCCTCCACAACGCCACCGCCTCCACAACGCCACCGCCTCCACAACGCCACCGCCTCCCCAACGCCACCGCCTCCCCAACGCCACCGCCTCCCCAACGCCACCGCCTCCCCAACGCCACCGCCTCCCCAACGCCACCGCCTCCACAACGCCACCGCCTCCACAAACCGCCAACGCCACCGCCTCCCCAACGCCACCGCCTCCCCAACGCCACCGCCTCCCCAACGCCACCGCCTCCCCAACGCCACCGCCTCCACAACGCCACCGCACGCCTCCCCAACGCCACCGCCTCCCCAACGCCACCGCCTCCCCAACGCCACCGCCTCCCCAACGCCACCGCCTCCACAACGCCACCGCCTCCACAACGCCACCGCCTCCCCAACGCCACCGCCTCCCCAACACCACCGCCTCCCCAACGCCACCGCCTCCACAACGCCACCGCCTCCACAACGCCACCGCCTCCCCAACGCCACCGCCTCCCCAACGCCACCGCCTCCCCAACGCCACCGCCTCCACAACGCCACCGCCTCCACAACGCCACCGCCTCCACAACGCCACCGCCTCCCCAACGCCACCGCCTCCCCAACGCCACCGCCTCCACAACGCCACCGCCTCCCCAACGCCACCGCCTCCCCAACGCCACCGCCTCCACAACGCCACCGCCTCCCCAACGCCACCGCCTCCCCAACGCCACCGCCTCCCCAACGCCACCGCCTCCCCAACGCCACCGCCTCCACAACGCCACCGCCTCCACAACGCCACCGCCTCCCCAACGCCACCGCCTCCCCAACGCCACCGCCTCCCCAACGCCACCGCCTCCCCAACGCCACCGCCTCCCCAACGCCACCGCCTCCCCAACGCCACCGCCTCCCCAACGCCACCGCCTCCCCAACGCCACCGCCTCCACAACGCCACCGCCTCCACAACGCCACCGCCTCCCCAACGCCACCGCCTCCACAACGCCACCGCCTCCCCAACGCCACCGCCTCCCCAACACCACCGCCTCCCCAACGCCACCGCCTCCACAACGCCACCGCCTCCACAACGCCACCGCCTCCCCAACGCCACCGCCTCCCCAACGCCACCGCCTCCCCAACGCCACCGCCTCCACAACGCCACCGCCTCCACAACGCCACCGCCTCCACAACGCCACCGCCTCCCCAACGCCACCGCCTCCCCAACGCCACCGCCTCCCCAACGCCACCGCCTCCCCAACGCCACCGCCTCCCCAACGCCACCGCCTCCACAACGCCACCGCCTCCACAACGCCACCGCCTCCCCAACGCCACCGCCTCCCCAACGCCACCGCCTCCCCAACGCCACCGCCTCCCCAACGCCACCGCCTCCACAACGCCACCGCCTCCCCAACGCCACCGCCTCCCCAACGCCACCGCCTCCCCAACGCCACCGCCTCCCCAACGCCACCGCCTCCACAACGCCACCGCCTCCACAACGCCACCGCCTCCCCAACGCCACCGCCTCCCCAACACCACCGCCTCCCCAACGCCACCGCCTCCACAACGCCACCGCCTCCACAACGCCACCGCCTCCCCAACGCCACCGCCTCCCCAACGCCACCGCCTCCCCAACGCCACCGCCTCCACAACGCCACCGCCTCCACAACGCCACCGCCTCCACAACGCCACCGCCTCCCCAAGCCACCGCCTCCCCAACGCCACCGCCTCCCCAACGCCACCGCCTCCCCAACGCCACCGCCTCCCCAACGCCACCGCCTCCACAACGCCACCGCCTCCACAACGCCACCGCCTCCCCAACGCCACCGCCTCCCCAACGCCACCGCCTCCCCAACGCCACCGCCTCCCCAACGCCACCGCCTCCCCAACGCCACCGCCTCCCCAACGCCACCGCCTCCCAACGCCACCGCCTCCACAACGCCACCGCCTCCACAACGCCACCGCCTCCACAACGCCACCGCGGCCGGTTCAAGACGGTTAGCGAGAGATTAGCTTTAGCAGAAAACGACCCCAGCTCAGTCCAATACTTGAGCCGGAGAATATCCTCTCTCTACCACAGACTTGGGCCACACTGTTAGCTTGTGTTAGCTAGTTCCTGTGTTTGATTCCACCTCCAGGCCTTTCTGTGGCCTCTCCCCGAGTCTGTAGGTTTCCTCCAGGTGCTCCGGTTTCCCACTACCACTAAAAACATGTGCGATAGGTCTGAACGTAACGAGTGATGGTGCGGTGTGTTTGAACTCTCGCGTCCGTCATCACCGTGTGCAGAGAAAGCACGAATCTGAACCGGACAACAGCCGTAAAAGGGCGTAGAAAGGGACGGTTTACATGTTAGCAGCTAGCATTAGCCCAGATTTAGCTGTGTTTCAAGTTATATTCAACATTATTTTGAAATTCCGTTGATTTGAAAGGAAGTTCTTGTAGTTTCTGGATTCTGGAAGTCCTCGTGTCAACCGTTACAACCTCCGCTATGCTAACGCTAATGCTAATGCTAATGCTAATGCTGTTGTTTGGCCCTGCTTCACCTGCTGCACCACTCTCTCCGAGTCACTTCAACAATACTTAAGTTACTCTCCGTCTTGAGATGAGCGAGGACCCTTCATCCACAGACAATAAAACAGACCTTTATGGTTTTAAAAAGGGGAATCCTGACGACCTCGCGGCTAACCACTCTGCCACCACCCAAGAACGTCCTCCAAGTGTCTCTGAGTATGTTCACATTCAAGCCTGAGGCCGTCTCCCCATTCACACTCACGCTAATGCAAACCGCGGGACACAAAGCCAGAGCGGACCTGGACCAGAGCGACGCTTTTCAGGAATAGCATCTTCCCAATTAGAGCGCCTTTAATTGACACGTCGGAAAAACCGCGGCACAAGTGGCTTCTCTGGGCTCTCGTAAAAGACGATTGAGAAACAGGATCTTTCTGTGGCGTGAGACCGCGAGACGCTGGCGAGGAAGGGTTAGCAAAGCATGTTTGGTTAGCTTTGGCTGCTAAAGGAGATGACGGGGACTTGGACTGAATGTTTGAGAGTTCTAGTATTGTACAAGAATAGACCGGGCCTCAGTCAGCGGGGGATGGGTGCAGAGGACTGAGGCTGTAGACCCAGGACTGAGGCTGTAGACCCAGGACTGAGGCTGTAGACCCAGGACTGAGGCTGTAGACCCAGGACTGAGGCTGTAGACCCAGGACTGAGGCTGTAGACCCAGGACTGAGGCTGTAGACCCAGGACTGAGGCTGTAGACCCAGGACTGAGGCTGTAGACCCAGGACTGAGGCTGCAGACCCAGGACTGAGGCTGTAGATCCAGGACTGAGGCTGCAGACCCAGGACTGAGGCTGTAGACCCAGGACTGAGGCTGTAGATCCAGGACTGAGGCTGTAGACCCAGGACTGAGGCTGTAGATCCAGGACTCGAGGCTGTAGACCCAGGACTGAGGCTGTAGATCCAGGACTGAGGCTGCAGACCCAGGACTGAGGCTGTAGACCCAGGACTGAGGCTGTAGATCCAGGACTCGAGGCTGTAGATCCAGGACTGAGGCTGCAGACCCAGGACTGAGGCTCTAGACCCAGGACTGAGGCTGTAGACCCAGGACTGAGGCTGTAGATCCAGGACTGAGGCTGCAGACCCAGGACTGAGGCTGTAGACCCAGGACTGAGGCTGTAGACCCAGGACTGAGGCTGCAGACCCAGGACTGAGGCTGTAGACCCAGGACTGAGGCTGCAGACCCGGGACTGAGGCTGTAGACCCGGGACTGAGGCTGTAGACCCAGGACTGAGGCTGTAGACCCAGGACTGAGGCTGTAGACCCAGGACTGAGGCTGTAGACCCAGGACTGAGGCTGTAGACCCAGGACTGAGGCTGTAGACCCAGGACTGAGGCTGTAGGCCAGGACTGAGACTGTAGACCCAGGACTGAGGCTGTAGACCCAGGACTGAGCTGTAGACCCAGGGACTGACCCAGGACTGAGGCTGTAGATCCAGGACTGAGGCTGTAGATCCAGGACTCGAGGCTGCAGACCCAGGACTGAGGCTCTAGACCCAGGACTGAGGCTGTAGACCCAGGACTGAGGCTGTAGATCCAGGACTGAGGCTGTAGATCCAGGACTGAGGCTGCAGACCCAGGACTGAGGCTGTAGACCCAGGACTGAGGCTGTGACCCAGGACTGAGGCTGCAGACCCAGGACTGAGGCTGTAGACCCAGGACTGAGGCTGTAGACCCAGGACTGAGGCTGTAGACCCGGACTGAGGCTGTAGACCCGGGACTGAGGCTGTAGACCCAGGACTGAGGCTGTAGACCCAGGACTGAGGCTGTAGACCCAGGACTGAGGCTGTAGACCCAGGACTGAGGCTGTAGACCCAGGACTGAGGCTGTAGACCCAGGACTGAGGCTGTAGACCCAGGACTGAGGCTGTAGACCCAGGACTGAGGCTGTAGACCCAGGACTGAGACTGTAGACCCAGGACTGACCCAGGACTGAGGCTGTAGATCCAGGACTGAGGCTGTAGATCCAGGACTCGAGGCTGCAGACCCAGGACTGAGGCTCTAGACCCAGGACTGAGGCTGTAGACCCAGGACTGAGGCTGTAGATCCAGGACTGAGGCTGCAGACCCAGGACTGAGGCTGTAGACCCAGGACTGAGGCTGTAGACCCAGGACTGAGGCTGCAGACCCAGGACTGAGGCTGTAGACCCAGGACTGAGGCTGCAGACCCGGACTGAGGCTGTAGACCCGGGACTGAGGCTGTAGACCCAGGACTGAGGCTGTAGACCCAGGACTGAGGCTGTAGACCCAGGACTGAGGCTGTAGACCCAGGACTGAGGCTGTAGATCCAGGACTGAGGCTGTAGGCCCAGGACTGAGATTGTAGACCCAGGACTGAGGCTGCAGACCCAGGACTGAGGCTGTAGACCCAGGACTGAGGCTGCAGACCCGGGACTGAGGCTGTAGACCCGGGACTGAGGCTGTAGACCCAGGACTGAGGCTGTAGATCCAGGACTGAGGCTGTAGACCCAGGATCATTATTATTCCATTCCATTTTTTTTTTTGTGGATATCTGTTGCCGTCGGTTACCGCAGCGATCGCGTTGACTCTGCACTTTCAACACTTCCTGGTTTGGATTCTGTGGAAGAATAAACTCTGATCCAGGTCTGTTGTGGTTTCTGCTACTTTTCTTTTGTAGCTGAAAACGGTGTTACTTTTATACGCAGAGTCGTATAAAAGTAACATTTTGTGAACATTCTGTCTTGATCTTATTAGAAAAACTGTTGCTACTTGTGTGAGTCACTATTGAAGTCTGGACTGAGAGCTGATTGGCCGAGAGAGGGAGGTCTGAGACTGAGAGCTGATTGGCCGAGAGAGGGAGGTCTGAGACTGAGAGCTGATTGGCCGAGAGAGGGAGGTCTGAGACTGAGAGCTGATTGGCCGAGAGAGGGAGGTCTGAGACTGAGAGCTGATTGGCCGAGAGAGGGAGGTCTGAGACTGAGAGCTGATTGGCCGAGAGAGGGAGGTCTGGAGGTCTGACTCCTGCTGTTTAAGGCCAAGGAGGTTCTTTTCATACCACAAAAACATGTAAAGAAGCTAGTACCAAAGTGAACTGCCCCTGGTCCCTGTTCATGGTCTGACTCTATGATGTCTGCTGTGGCTCTATGATGTCTGTGACTCTATGATGTCTGACTCTATGATGTCTGTGGCTCTATGATGTCTGCTGTGGCTCTATGATGTCTGTGACTCTATGATGTCTGACTCTATGATGTCTGTGACTCTATGATGTCAGCTGTGACTCTATGATGTCTGTGACTCTATGATGTCTGACTCTATGATGTCTGTGACTCTATGATGTCTGACTCTATGATGTCTGTGGCTCTATGATGTCTGCTGTGGCTCTATGATGTCTGTGACTCTATGATGTCTGACTCTATGATGTCTGTGACTCTATGATGTCAGCTGTGACTCTATGATGTCTGTGACTCTATGATGTCTGACTCTATGATGTCTGTGACTCTATGATGTCAGCTGTGACTCTATGATGTCTGACTCTATGATGTCTGCTGTGACTCTATGATGTCAGCTGTGACTCTATGATGTCTGACTCTATGATGTCTGACTCTATGATGTCTGCTGTGACTCTATGATGTCTGCTGTGACTCTATGATGTCTGACTCTATGATGTCTGCTGTGACTCTATGATGTCTGCTGTGACTCTATGATGTCTGTGACTCTATGATGTCGCTGTGACTCTATGATGTCTGACTCTATGATGTCTGCTGTGACTCTATGATGTCTGACTCTATGATGTCTGCTGTGACTCTATGATGTCTGCTGTGACTCTATGATGTCTGACTCTATGATGTCTGACTCTATGATGTCTGCTGTGGCTCTATGATGTCTGACTCTATGATGTCTGCTGTGACTCTATTTATTTAATTTTTTTTATTTATTTATTTAAAGGGACAATGCATATTAATGAACATGTAAATGTAAATATGCCAGAATTAGCCAATGGCTACTTTCCATCTGTAGTCCCTGGCAGATCAAGAAAATACAAAGACTAATAAACGACATTTAAAAGACAAAAGATCATCACACAAATCATCCACACAATTAAACTAGAGACATAAAACAAAGATACTGGTCAGTGGTTACATGTCTGATTCCCCTTCAGCCAACCTTTAAGTTTAGTTTTAAATACTATGAATGTAGTACAGTCTCGAATTTCTGCTGGGATGCTGTTCCATACCGTGGTCCCTTTCACTGACAGCACCTGTTGACTAAACGCTGTGCGTCTATAAGGAACCACACAGTCACTTCTGGTGGTGGCTCTGGTCACTCTACCACTTGTACTGGATATGAACTTAATGAATTCATTCAAGGATGGTGGAGAGAGTCCATGCAAAATCTTATAAACTGAACAAGCCATTTTAAATGTTCTAAAATTTTCAAAGTTTAGAATATTATATTTTTCAAGTATTAAGCAATGATGAAATGAAT